CCTCGGCGGGGCAGGGATAGGGCCGCTCGTGGACCGGCGTCTTGCTGGGCCGGTTGGGGTACTTGCGGGGCCGCAGGATGGGCCGCAGCGGCAGGTGGTGCGGGCTGTAGGCGCCGGCGGGCAGCCGGGCTCCCGCACCCTCGCCCCCGCCGCCGCCGCCGGGAGCGCTGCCGGGGGCGGCGCCCGCCGGGGGCGCCCCCATCGTGAAGTTGCGGATGGTGGAGAGTGGCGTGAGGGGCGGTGGGACGCGGAGAGAGTCGAGGGGGCAGGGGAAGGGCTTGCGGTCGGGGCCGGGGTGCAGCTCACGCTGGCACTGGGGCGGCGGGAAGAAGCCGCCGTACTCGGGGATCATGGTGAAGAGCCCGCCGTCGGCCGCCGCCGCCTTCGGGGAGGGGTAGGAGGGCGGCGGGGGAAAAGGCAGCGCCCCGCCGCCGGCGGCGGGCAGGAAAGCCGAGGAGGGGTCTTGAGGGTACAGGTCACCGCAACCCGAGTAGGGCGGAGGCGGCGGCGAGTAGAGATGCTCCAGGTCGGCCGGCTGTCCCTGTGCCATGGTGCAGCCGAGGGCCCCGGCCAGCGGGTTGGGGGAGGCGGTGGAGGCGGCGGTGGCCGAGGAGGCGGCAGAGGAGGCGGAGGAGGCGGCGGAGGAGGCGGCGGAGGAAGGCGTGCTGACCCCCTGCAGGATCCCCGCGCTCACGATGTTGATGATGCCCTCGGGGTAGCAACCGGCGCCGGGGTACTGCGGGTCGATGGAGAATTTGCCCATGTAGGTGAAGGTCTGGTTGCGGGAAGCCGGGGCGTTGGGCGCGAAGCCGCCACCGTAGGGCAGGTCCAGGGCCCTCTTGTCGCCCATGTCCACGTTGATCATGCCGTCTGGGGGGGCAAGGAGCAGGTCAGCCCTCCGCGCCGCTACCCAGCACCGGTCCCGGCCGCCGCCCGCGCGGGGCTGCGGCGGGCACATGTTGCGCTCCGGCTGCCGGGGGGCTCCGCGCCGATTGCAACTTTTCCCCCAGAGCCGGGCGCGGAGGCAGGGCTGCCGCAAGGGGCGGGGGGGAGCCCCACGGAGGGTCGCGGCGTCCCGACCCTGTCCGCCCCCCGCCCGCCACCCGGGGTCCACGCGGCCCTCCGCGGGCGGCCCGTCCCGCACCTGCGCGGGCTCCGCTTACCTCCTGCCACACCGCTCATCTGGTCAAACGGCCCTGCCAGGTCGGCATTGGGGAAGATCGCCACCGAAGTTGGCAGCGCGGCCGAGATGTCATCCGCGGGGTAAATGCCCTCGGGGAGCTGGTGCACGAACCCACCGAGGGTCACCGGGATCTTGTCCACCGCCTTGGCGGTCATCATGGGGGCAGCGGGGCGGCCGCGGGAGCGGCGCTCCTGGCCGGCGGTGGGCGCTCGGGGCGGGGAGGGGAGGGCGAGGAGGGGGCGCTTCCCCCTGCCTCCCACTACCGGCGCGGGGGAACGGCGGGGAGCCGGCGCGGCATGTGCGGGCGGGCGGCCGCCCCGTCGCGGCGGTTCGGTGGCCGCGATGCCCCGGGAGCGCCGCGCTCCCGCCGCAGCTCGCGCTGGAGGACAAGTCTGGCGGTAACTATTTATGGGGGCCCCCTGAATGCCCGGGACGTCACTGCCCATATAAGGACTGAGGAACGGGGCCCGGCGGTCACGTGGGCTCGGGCGTGCGGGACCCGCCGCCCCGCGCCCGCCCCGTCCCCCCCGCCCCGCACACCCCCCGCGCCCCGCGGGGGCGGCCCCGACCCGCCCCGGCCCCGCGCGGCCCCCGCCGCCGCCCGCCGCGCCGCACACGGGGGTATTCCGGTGGCGGGGCCCTTGTCCTAAAAAGGCGAGGATCCGGCCCCGCCCACCTGCCCTTTTTAGGGAACCCGTTCCGGAAAATTTTAAAAACGCTCGGAAAAGCAGAGGAGGTCCCGGGGCCGCCCCGCCGGACCCCGCTCACTTTCTCAGCAGCCCGTAACCGCAAGCCGGCGGCGGGTCAGAAAACAGCCGCATTCACGGAATACAGCTTCTCCTTTCTTAAAGAAAAAAAAATATTAAAAAAATATATTTTTTTTCTGAATTACGGGTGGAAAGAGCCGCCGAGCAGAGCGACTCGGCGGCGCTGCTTTTTTTGGAAAGTGTCTGATCTATATATACCGTCGCGAAAACGGAACCGCCCGCTCCGCCGTCGGTGGGTTGTTATTGTACCGACGGGTACAACCGGGGACGGGACGGAGGGGGCTGCACTGCTCCCCCGCCGCCCCCACCACCCCCTCGTCCCATTCTGCCCCCGTCGCTCCCACCCTGCTCAGATCAACCTTTTGCTTCCACAGCTTCCATCCTCAATAACATTTCCACTCCCACTACTGCTTTCTCTCTCTATGATCTCCTCCATAACGAGGGTATAAAACCAAAGAGTGCTTAAATTCTGTCTTTTTTTTTTCCTCCAAAGTACTAAAAATAACCTCCCTTGTGCCTCCCTTCCCAGGAGAAGCCAATCTTTCATATGCTGTTCCCAAGCTTAGAGCTTGCAGCCCCTACATCTTCTTGCTGATGAGGGTGTCAGATGTAATTATTTTTGAAAGCTGTATCCCATGTCACTAATCTCATTTACTTGGGGATATTTCATCTTGTGGCTGTTTAGTCCTGCGTTTAGGAAAGCAACTCTCACATATGGTCTGTAGCATGCAAGGTTCCTTTTCAATGGTCTGCAGTAAAAACCCAACCCATTAACAACACAAACAGCAATAAGATGTGGCAACATATGAAAGATGCTCTGAGAGTGTACACTCCTTTTCCAAAGCAACTAGCAGAAAATACTTAGGAAGGATAAAACCCGCTTTGCTTTCACATTTTTAACTGCAGATACCAATATTTACAGGTCTAATACATTCCAGAGCTCGGGCATCCCGAAGGAATGTGCACTTATCTCTGCCTTCAATCCCAAGCACTGTCACAGTGTCTCCCAAGCCCCGTTTTATCCGTGCCACACCTCACACCCCAGCTGAGAAAGGCTCTATCAGTTCCTCCAGTTCTGTTTCACTGCCTTTGGTGATGCTCCAGGTTCACTACTTGACCAGGCACTGCAGAGCCAAGGCTAGACAGGAGCATTTCTGGAAAAGTAAAAGTTTTAGGGACATTAGTCATACTTTCTAAGGAATAGTAGGCGTAAACATAGGTATTTGCCTTCGTGGGTGATCAGAGAAGTGTGCACAGTAATTAGTAAATATATAACTGGTTTTTTTAATATAGATTCTTATTATCAATCCTTTCTAGCACTTAATATATAGCCAATACAGTTTGACATATGAGATTTAGTTGAAAGAAAGCTTTCAGTGGGATTCTAGATATTTTCATTTAAAAGACCCATCTCAATTTAAAAGTTAAATTGTGACAGAGAGACAGGTTCTGGGAAATTTGACTGAGAAGCAAGAGCAATTGTATTGTACCTTTCCATTACAGCTGAGCTATAATTGGTCTAATCGCTACTATGAAAGAACAAAATATTGGAATCTGTTGTGCAGTGGGGCGAATTACTTTACATGAATTTGAGAAACAGTGCAGTATCGTCCTTACTGCAAAACGTTGCAGATGTATCAGATTCAAGTTTTATGGATATTCTACATCATTTTCCTGTATTGTTTCAAAATACCACATGCCCGCTGATGACACTGACTCATAATGCTCACAGGAGAAAGAAAAACCAAGGTTTCACAGTGCACCTCAACCTCCCCACAAATCGATTCCACCTTTGAACTAACTTGGCTCATTTAATGGAGAAGGATTTCATGAAAGACTGACACGAATAAAATCCACTGTACCTCCTGGTTAACTTCACCTGGGGAATACTACTATAGTTGGGTTGGCTGGTTAATTTTAAAAGCCTTCTTAAGCACGGAGTAAATTGTGTCTGATTTCCAGCCTTTCCAGGGACAATCAAATCACTCAGCATCTCTCAATGGGAGCTTTGTCTGAGTGGCAGCAGGATCTGGTGTGGGGCAAGATGGAGACGTAGTTAATGCTCAGCTTCAGGAAGATGTTGACAGATGAGACTCAAATGTTTCTGGGCCCTTTTCAGATATTGTCGCTGTATTGCTTTGCATGTGCTTTGTGCCTTTGATCCCCATTTGGCTGATCACAGCAGACTCCGAGGGTTGGACTGTCCACCTCGCGCTGACGTCAGTGAGCCTTATATGCAAAAATACCCTACTGATTTCTGTGGTTCCTACAAACCACGTGGTTTCATATGACAGACATTGCTGCTGCAGATTGCCAAATCTCCACTCGCACTAGGAGCCTCGAATGTGCCTGACACGTCTGACTGGATACAGCATGGACTGAGGAGGGTTCAGAGCTGATGGGCAGAACTTCTGTTCCCAGTTTCTTTGAAACCAGACTCCTTTGGATTTACTACATTTACCCTTTTAACGAGTTGCTAGCTGACGTTGCACTAGGGTTCTATTTTCCTGCAGTCATTCTCTACCACAAGTACCTGAGACAGGAGTTGTAGAAATAAAATTGTCCTTGCCTCCATGAGTTGAGAGTGGCTGAGGAAGAAAAGGCAGCTCATCATCTATGGAGCTGGCAACACATTTCACCAGTGTAACATCACACATTTGAGTCATCTCTCCAGGGGGTTACTGTGCTTTTGCAGCAAAACTCGATCGACCTCATGTGCTAACAGCAGTGATCCTGGTAGGCCTGCTTGGAAATGCACCCTGCCGCTTCCACTGTGCATCCTGCTGGTTTTGGGAATGTTAAGATGGCTCCAGCTCAGCAGGTGTTCTCAGGAGTGGGAACTCAGGTGTGATCAGGGAGTTGTTTTCAGATAGGAGATGAGTGACCCTGTCCTCTGACAACAGCGAAGGACAACTTTCCGAACTAGATTCATGTTGGGGTTGATGTTTCCTTAACATTTCACATGAAAGAAAAGATCTCTCCAAATCTGGATTTCAGAGTTTCCTAAATTTGCCCTTTTTCACTGGGGGTAGAAAGATTTGTCATGTCCTCACAGGAAGAAATGCCTGTTTACTAATACCTTTTTTTTGCCAGGGTGTCCCCTGGATTCCCAAGTTGCAGGCAAAAGCCACTTCCCTTCAGTCTACCGTGTCAGCCCCTCACAGGCCTGATCCAGGCTCTCAGCTTGTACTGGCCAGTCACCAAAACCTGGAATTCAGCCAGGGAAACCTGCTGTAAACATGAACATACAGAAAACAGCTGCCTGACTGCTGGCATGCGGGGGAAGGGGATGGTTAAGGAGCAGAGGAGAAGGCATCCCAGTCTACCCTTAATTACAGTACCTTGAAACCACTCTGTGGTTTCCAGCCAAGCGTGCTTGTTGTCTTAGGATGAATGCCTGTAAATTTGAAATAAGTAAATGACTTTGTTGAGAGTATTTGGCTCAGGAGAGCCATAGCACCATCCTGAAGGGCTATTTAAATGTCAATAACATTTTCTAATTCGGGCTATAGGAATTAAACAAACCCATGTGGTTTGTTTAAGTTTAAGCTGCTAGTTTAAGTTTGTGTGGCTGTGGACAAGTATGTGTGGCAGAGCAAACTTCCAGTCAAATAAAAGCAACAACAAACTCGTTTGCTCAAAACTTATTCTCGTAATTAAACACGCAGAACATTTCCTGGATGTTCCCGTACACGGTTTCTAGCACACGTGTTAAATCAGTAGTCCTACTTCCACTCACGCCGTTCGTCCCTCACTGAACACCCGAGGGAGCGGGTGCTCCCAGCCGGCGGCGGGAGGGGAGCGGGGAGCGTGTGCGGGCTCCACTGCCCTCTCCTGGGGGAAGGCGCTCCCGGGAGCCGGCGAGGACACGGCAGCTGAGCAAAAAGCGATGCGTTGGGCTGAGCGCTGCTGGTGTTTCACAGAATCACACAATATGCTGCGTCGGAAGGCACTCACAAGGATCATCGAGTTCAACCCTTAGCCCTGCACAGGACCATCCCCAAGACTCACACAATGTGCCCCAGAGAATCCAAACGCTTCTTGAGCTCTGTCAGGCTTGGTGCTGTGACCACTGCCCTGGAGAGCCTGTTCCAGTGCCCAACCACCCTCTGTGGAATGAACCTTCTCTAATATCCAACCTAAACCTCCTCTGACACAACTTCAGGCCATTCCCTCGGGTGCTGTCACTGGTCACCACAGAGATCATCTACCCCTCCCCTCCTCTTCCCCTCACGAGGAAGTTGTAGACTGCAATGAGGTCTCCCCTTAGTCTCCTCTTCTCCAGGCTGAACAGAAAAAGTGACACCTTTTCTGCTTTAGATTATACTTTGAAACGTGGCATCAGGAAGGGAAAAAAAAAAAAAAAAAAGAAAAAAAAAGGGTTTAGGGCTTTAAACTGAAAGAGAACAAGTTTAGATTAGATTTTAAGATGAAATTCTTCCTTGCAAGGGGGGTGAGGCCCTGGCACAGGTTGCCTAGAGAAGCTGCAGCTGCCCCATCCCTGGAAGTGTTTCACTGTGTAACAGCACCCCTAAAGGTTTTCATCACAGTTGTGCTACCCATAGAGAGAATATAGCCCTGTGGAGTCGGAGATCCTGGCCACAGGCTGTGACCCTGCAGCCCCAAAGCTGTCAGGATGGGTATCACATACCACAGGGAGTTGCTGGGAGCAACCCACAGAGGGGCATCCCTGCTGGAAGGCTAAAATATCAGTTCTGCATGCTGCTTGCCAGGGGAAAAAAGAAAAAAAAATTTGCTTCTCATAACTGTGAAAATAACTGGGATACACATATCATTCATGAGACAAGACTCTCAAAATAACGACGACTTGTTTCTGAATAGTGATAGTCTGCCTACTAAGCTATAGTTTCCAGTCCTTTCTTCCAAAACTGGTTTCACTTACCCTTGTATTTCCTGCTCTAGTGTGTCTCCTGTGCTTTGTGTAAATACTGCCTTGTCCCATGGCCGGGCCTTTAAGTCCAGAGAGAAATTAACTGAGCACATCCCTTAATGACACGAGTGGCCTTCTTCCTTGAAGGGTTGAAATAAAAGAAGTATCGCAAGAGTCACATTTTCAGTTCTCCTGTTGGTCCCATTACTTAGTGTGTGAGTGCAGAGAAAGCTTGTCAGAAGGCTTTCTAGACATACTCAGTTTATAGGAAATGGTGCCTTCAGAACCGAGCACAGCTTTTAATCCTCAGCTGAGGAATAAGATCAAGTGTGGCACCTTTTTCTAGCAGACCAGCAGGGAAAGCAAAACTCTGGCACCATTTTCCAAGCAATCTTCTGAAAAGTGACACAGAAGAGCTCTGTGGGGTGTTTCTCAGAAACTTCCCACCCCCCCAGGGAAGCTGGAGCCACTCACAGGATTCCTAGATTGCCAAGCACTCGTTTGTGTTTGCCCTGTCTATGTGCCACCTTTCAGAACCTGTTTCCATTTATGTCTCATTTCTCTGTGCTTTCGTCTTAAACCAGTCGGCCTTGAGCCTTGGAACCCCTCAGCTTTTTGCTCTAGGTAAGTCAGTCTGAGTTTGGTTCTGGCTTTTCCTTATTTTTTATCAGCATTTATTTTCTGCTCCTGAGGGCATGTCTACATGCTCCACTCTCAGCATCCTGACTGTAAATTCCTGAGGACAAGGGTGTTCAGGTTCATTTTCAGCAAAGTTAACCAGTGGATGGCTTTCTGTCAGGAGCTGACAGCAAATGTTATTGGAGTAGAGAATTAAAAAAAAAAAAATTCACAAGAGATTAAAATAAGCAACATGTTTTGCTTCAAAATTTTTAGGGCCAGATCTTCAAGTGGTGTAAGTTAGCATAAGTTTTCTGATGCTATAACCCCTACAATCTGAGTGAAAGTCAAAATTGGATGTGATTTTATTTACAGTTTGGTTATTTTCAAGGTTAAAACTCCAGCTTCTCCTGGGGGTGGGCATGGTCCTTTTCATCCTGTATTTGGGCTGGTGCCACCTGTTTTGCAGGAGTTTTGTTTCTATCTTTGATTTATTTTTCTCTGCTGCACTGCATTGGTCTTGTTCTTTCACCTCCCCTCTCACTCATGTCTCTCTCTGTATTCTATTGTCCAACCTTTTCTGCTCTCTTTTCCCTCTTCCCCCTCCTGTCTTTCCTCTTCCTTGGTAGTTCCCTTTCCTTCCCCCTTATCTCAGCAATTGCTGCCAACAGCTATATTTGGAATAGAGTGGGAACAAGCTATTCTTGTGACTTTACTTTGAAATAACTGGGAAGAGCAGATGATTTTCTTTGAACAAATAGAAGATACATCGAGGAGAAGGCAGGCTACTAAAGTCAAAACAACAGCATTAGGGAATACCTGCCCAGCAGGTTCATCTTTCCCGACTGTCAGGATAACTTAACCAGCTATCAGTTCTTGTTTGCTCTGTTTTAGCTTTAAATCCTTTTGTGCCAAGTTCCTCTCTCCAGGTTAGTAACCCGAGGTGCTAACAAGGCCTAGCTCATCACCTCAATGTCTGGGCGCTCATACATCAAGGGGAATGACTGCAACTTAAAATCTCAGATGCCAAAATTAGACGAACCAGGATATATATTTGTTTAACACCTGAGCTCAGTGCTGTTGCATGTTCTCGTGTAGTCACAGGATACTGTTACAGAGTCCCACTTATATGGGCTAGCACAGAAATATGCTAGGAGGAGCAACTTCCTATGGAGCAATATGATTTCTCCACTTTCTCTCACATCACCACCTGCTCCTCATCCCCCCTGCCATTTAAACTACTCTAAGCAATATATAATCAAAGCTAGCAAGAAACAGAGCTACCTGAACAGGACAGCACAGAAGGTATTTCTCCCTATCCCCCATATTTCTGTGTTTATACCATTGACTCCCACACTGGCAAATCAAACAAGAAATGAGGCCAAATGAGAAACTCAGCATCACAGCTTGGTGCTTTGTGCCTGTGCCAGAAGAAGACCCAAGTCTATTTGTCTGCTCTCAAGTGAAGCTGGTTCTATTAAAACTGTACAGCTGTAACGTGTTTGTGTGTGAAACTGCTTCATACAGGGGAAGGTACATGAAAATACATGCAGAAAGGTGCAGGGACAAGAGCTTTCCTTACAAGGGGCTACTAAATGTTTGACAAGAAACTAGAGGGAAGTGATTCTTCCATCCATCAATAGCTTCCTGGCGTTTTATAAACCAGCTAACACAAATGGTCATGCTGACATGGTGCCTCCACAGTTATGTCTGCAACAACTGTGAATAAGCTCCTTTTGCCAACAGAATAAAAGTCAATACCAATATCTTAGGAGGGCGAGGCAGACAGAGCTGTAATGCTTTTCTATCAGACCATGTAAGAGAAAAACAGATCAGTCTTCTTCTTTAAAGCTAGGCTGAATAATCATAACCATATCAAAAACCTTGTCCTGTGATTCAGGACAGCACTTGTGCTGGAACACACTAAAAACACCACCTCTGCCACATGTCTGGCCAGGCTGACCAGGGCTGCCATGGACTTTGCAAGCTTTCTGGTAAGCACACTCACTGAAACACAATTTAAAGTCAACAACGTGTCTAAAAACACACATAATGTCAGAGGTGGAATGAAATGTTGCTTCCCCCTCTCTCCCCCAAACTCATTACAGGCTAAGGAAAAATAATGTATGGAGAATACTACTTCACCATCTAAAGAGTTTTTCTGGTTTCTAAATCTAGTGAAGAGTCATTGTATATTTTGACAGAAAAATGGATCAAAATAATAAAGTGAATACAAAATTATATTGCTGTCAATAATTTAATTTACACAAAATAGCACTGTGACATGGTAATTGTTATATATGATGCAGCATTCAGTATAATATTTGGAGAATGCATTATAGAAAGTCAACATTTAACTACTAAAATCAACTTACATAATCAAAGCTGTCAGGGAATCTTTACAGTTTTATATTAATTTGAATGTAATTTACTATAGAGGTGTCATTCTTAGAGGTGCTTACAATAGTTAATGATCTCTGCATTTCCATTATAAAATCCTATTTTCAAAGGTTTATAACTTGGTCTTGAGAACTCTCAGCCCTCCGGCACATTTTCCCTTTCCTTAAAAAACACTATGTTTTAAACTTTTCTCTCAAGAGTACATAGTGTGGTTACTTTCCAAATCCATTGTGAGGGTTTGCTAATTTGCTGCTTACTACCCAGGGATCTCAGGAAAAGAAAGGTCTTTCACAGCAGAAGACATTTCAGTTATATTTTCTTCTTCCATGTTCCTGAGCATATCACCTCTCAGTCCATTTCTCTTGCTGAAGTGTCTAAGTATCTCCCAGTATTGCATCCAAGCCTCCATCACTCCTTCTCTCTTTCCTGTGTTGCTGCCACTCAGCTTTCTTCTAGGTCCTTCTCCTCATCTCAAACTTGGACTCCTGGCTCAGTTCTGTTTCTTCTCACAGATGTCCACATCTATGCTGGCAGCTGGAACTTCCATCAGGTCCATCAGTCAGTGACCTCTCCTGGCTGCACAGTCCCTCAGCCTCACACCTTTTTTCCTATTTCACTTTTCCAACTCACTAGAAGACCAACAATTAGTTTTGCTCTGGCAAGTACATTTCTCTCCCCAGTCTTTCATGCTTGATTCATATCAGACATTACCTACCAGCCTACCCAGACCTGCTCTGCCAGGCAGTTGGTGATTTTGGTTTCGCAGCCACAGGAACCATGCTGTCCCAAGGCACTAAAGCTGTTTCCCCCTGCCCCAGGATTCCTCCCCAGGGGATAGGACACTGCAAACCAATTGTCCACAAACACGTTGTTACAGGTCATTCCCAAAAACAGCATTGGAAGGCAAATTGTCAGCACAAAGCTATTATCCATTATAAAACCAAAGCAAATAATTACCCTGCTTTGGTAGACCTGTTCCAGTTCCTGGGTCTAGTTTTCCCAAATCCTGCTCAAATTCACTTTTTTCTTTTTCCCTTCCAAGTTAGCCAGTTGTCATCTTGGATCCCCCAGCTTTCTGTGACCTCAGTGTTGTCAGAGCAGACATGTTTGAGCCAACATGCACAATTACTCATAATCTAAATCATCACTACCATATAAACATTTAGACTTACGCTAAAGTAGTTTTGTCATTTGTCCAGGATCTCTTTATTTTCCCTGCAAGGAGAAGAGCATTTTAAAGTATTTGTGATGCTCTATTCTAGCCTTTCTGCCTTGATATGGCCTCTTTTGTCCAGTGCCAACACTTAGCCAAAACATTTCCTTTCCTTTTTTCCATCATTGCCATTTTTCCTGTTAAAAAAAAATGAATGTACTAGTTTCTAATAATTCAATGATGTCACAGATAACATGGGATGATGAACTTGATTGAAGAAAAATGTGCTCATATTTAGACTGGATAGAACTGATGACTAACTCAGTGAAAAGGCAGATAACAATGAGAAAGACAACACTGGGAGTATTCTGTTTGATCTTTCATATTCATAATTTAGTGGTACAAAGAAACTCTAGAAATCACTTTTATTTTTCCCAGGGGATATGCAGCTGGACATATAAGGATGAGTGTCTGGCTAAATTATATTTTAAAGAAGCATTTGACACACTTCAGATCTTTATTCTGGTTTTGGAAAAAAAAAAAAAACAAAACACTAAAAGACTGACTGTAGCATGGACTATTGCCTGAAAGCTCCGGGTGTTATTTCATCATTCTTTGTGTTGAGAAAACAGAATTGGAAGATGAAACTTTAAAACTGTCAGAAAAGCCAGGGACTGTATGGATCCCTTCTCCAGCAGAATGAATGGGACCTGACAGGCACAGGAGCTTAGAGGATGATCTTCCAGACTGGATGACAGTTCTTGAATTTTCAGTGTCCCCCACAGAAAAATCTACCAGACCGGTTTATCTCCATTCAAAGTTTTTACTCCTTGAATCTCAATGAGGAGGTTTTCCTCTGATGTAGGTAGCGCTGCCCGCTCTCCCGAGGTTGACGCCCACTTCATTCAAGTATTCCTAGTGCAGCAGGGATGTTAGTGGCTACTGGCTTGCAGCCAACATCCCACACATTTCCTCCGCAGCAAAAATGCCTTAATTCTGACCCACTGCCTTTCAAGTAGATAGTGAAAAAAAAAATCAGTCACAAAGAGCTTTGCTTTTATCTGTATTTCTCCTTCAGAAAGATCTGAAAAAAACGTCAGACATTGTTCTTTTCTTTTTCAAGGTCCGCGGTCAGCGAGGGTGAGGTTTGGTGCTGCTGTTAGAGCATGAGCCCGAGAAGAAGCTGAAGGCATTCAGACAGTGGTGCTTATGGGTTTGGGTAAAGGAGTTTTAGGCAGGGTAAGTGCCCAGGGGGTGGACCACAGTGCCTGTCCTGGTGCCAGCAGCTGCATCCAGTGCTTCTCCCGCTCAGCAGCTCTCCTGAACACTGTTCTTTCTGAATCACTTCAGCCATCACCTACTATAGGAACTTGTGTTTCTCAAGCAGGGCACTGAAAAGAGATCAGAGGGGACAGTAGCTTTTGGCTCCTGGTGGAAGTTATCCATGCTCAGCACAGAAAGGAGGAACACTGCTGATATTACCTAGAGCTGTGGGAAGTGTGTCCCAAGCCCAGTATCTGATTGGGCACCACCACTGAATCTGAAATGGGACAAACTGGGCGACCCACAAGCATTTTTAGACCCACAAAAGCCAAGCATATACATGGTTTTAAGACCAATGCCCAGAAAGTGGGATATAGTGGAACAACGTTGTCTACTCACAATTGCATTGCACAGAACCCTAAGGGAAAGCAGCACAGGCAAACAGGTCTCATATTTGATAGTCTGGCTGAGCGGACACGATGGGAGGTGCAGCGATGTCCATAGGGGAATGTGGAGCCCAAAGTTACACTACTGGGAGGTCTGGAATCAAAAGCCAGGGAGAAAAGGGTTGGCAAGCCATAGAGTTAACTTCCAGTGGTGCTTTCAGGATGAAAGAAAGATAAACTACTCTCCAAGTTAGCAAGTTATGTAGTGAGGAATATTTGAGGGAAGATGTTAATAAATAAATATAAATCAAAAAGGTATCAGGAAAGAAAACCCCAAAGAGAAATACAGTCTAGGAAAAATCACCAACAAGTGGAAGGCAGATGGCCAAATCGTGTGATACAGAGAGAAATATACTCTGCTTCATTCAGTAGAACAAGAAAGTCTGGATGACTATAAATAAGAAAGATAATTAAATGGAATGGAAGGAATTAATTAAAGAAATCATTACACTGACCTTGCATAAATAAAGTTTCAAAGGTTGCACACATGCTAATTTGAGGAGCAGGATGTCTAAAAGTATGGAGACAACTAAAAATATTCACTCCTTTATACTGGGATAAAGGTAGAACCTGAATGGAGGTTAGATGTATTTGGTACCATTCCAGCTGATTATGATCTTGGAAAAATTACATGGAAATTGCTGTGGTAATCTACTGAATTTAAAGGAGAACTGCAAAACGTACAGATGAACTTAAGGAACACAACTGAAACAGTAAAATCAGCATAGGTTAAAATACAAGCTGCAGAAAGCTGACAGCAGGAATGATTTCAGAAAAAATAAGGATAGGTAAATTGGATAAAACAGAGGAGAAAATTGGCACCCATCATCGCCATGACACTTGCATTACATCTCACTTCCAAGTGCAGAGTCCAATTTGGGAGAAGGCAAGAAGCAGAATATGCTCTTTTATAGGGGAAAAAAGGGCTTCTTTCTTTTGCAAGTTCCTGTGTCAGTAGCCATTTTATGGGGCTGCCAATCATGGCAAATCAACTGAAAAGCCAGATCATTTTCTAAAGCATCCACCTTCCTAGAGAAAGATTTTCAAGTTGACTGTGTACAATCCAGCTGCTGCTTTTAATCTTTCCCTGACAACAGTAGTTGTTTTATTACTCTGACAGTCATTTTTAGCCCATGAATAGTACTACAGTCCTTGTAAGATAGGAAAATTCTTTTGATCTACAATTTCATAAGGTTTAGCAATAGACAAAGGATTTTTCCAGTATACTTGATCACACACTTGCTGAAGTTTAGGCTGGGAGGCAATAAAAAGGCACTGAGCCAGTCATTTGGAGACACACAAAAATCCTTTTTGATGAGTAACAACTGCCAGAAAAAAAGTAGTTTATAATAAAAATACTACCTATCATTAGAAAATTAAAAACCAGGTTACTCCTGAAATAACTTTGATTCATTGCCTTGATCATTTTTAACTTTCACACTGTTTCAATATAGTATGATCTGGAGGATAGAAAATGTGGATGCAAGAGAGGCATAAGTGTATAAAAGGAAGGTGTTTCAAGATGTCTGTAATAACTAGGAGGAACTGGGAGAAGACTCAGGCAGACACAGCAGTTTTCCAGCATAATGACTTGTTCTATTTGCTGTGTAAGTAAGAACTGTATGTTTTGTACAGTCTGAAATATTATATAAGCTCTAAAATAAAATATATTTCTAAATAAAAAAAGAAAGCCATTCAGTAACTATTTTGAGTGAAAAAGTAGTCGAAAATTATAATAAAAATCTGTCATTTTTATTAGTACGGGCTGCAGTAGTTTGAGCACTTACACATATGTTAAACTTCCCACATGTGTGCATGCCATTTTCTTGTCCTATTCACACTGGAACCCATTCTGGTTTGCCTTATGTATAAGGAATTCAAATAGAAAGCCTTTGAGACAGTGAAGTGTAAGGACAGTGTTTCCAGGAGGGCTATCAATTTAGCAGCTAGTCAGCTGAGTACATAGCTACCTGGGGAGAATATTTAGAGAAGGTGCTGAATTGAAGACTAACTTCTTTAAATTCTTTCCTTTGAAAACTACAAGTCCATTGGCACAGCCAATTTCCATAAAGACATTCCTCTCCAAAAATCCACACCAAGCTTAAAATTTATAGAGTAAAAAGAAACAATTATATTTTTGGTTGGATGCAATTAGAAATCAGTCATCTTAATACTTAGATTGGTCAGAAGGGAATTACAGAGGATTAAAGGATGAACAGGAGTTCCTCTTCCACTCCCTGCATTGTTCAGTTGGTCCCAACTGTAGCACTTCTTAATTAAATACATTACAGTATACAGAAACATTGGAGTTCATACCTTTTGCTAGACAGCTTCTATTTATAATCTCTTAAAATGTCCACAAAATTCCCCCCAAAAAATCACATTTTCTGGCAAAATGCCAGCCTGACTCCTATAGTCTAACATTCATGACACAAATACTTTGCCTCAGTATTTTCAAATAAACCCCCTAATTTTGGTTTCATTAAATTCTTTGGACAATATATTGAGATGTCTCTGCTCAGTTACTACAAAATTTTAAGTCCTCCACAATTAGCTAAAACTGACTCCAGTGTCACCGACCTTGAGGAATCATCTCTCAGTGCAAGCACAGATATTCACTTCTGTTTCTCCAGTTTGCCAGATCTCTAAATGAAAGACTTTTTTAAAGGGTTATCTTTGCTCTAAACACTTCAAGTTGTATTTTTAGCCCACTGTTTTGAAATAATGCACATCTCTGAACTCTGAATGTGCAAGATTTTTCTTTCCATTCTTTCCTCCAAATTAGGAAGACTCAGAGGAAAGAATTTGGCCACTGTCGTTTGCTAATTATGTTCAAAAGCTCCTACAGAACATCAACCTCTTGCATCAGACCATGCCTGGAACGGCAACTTTCTCAACGTTTTCCCACTCAATCCTGTTAACTGAGTTATTCCCTGCCATTATCAACTCTCGGACTTTCCCTTTGAGGCCTCAGTCCACTGCAGTGGGAAAGATGGACTTACTGCAGGAAGCACAGACACGTGTTTCTGCATCCTTCCTGCCACATCTTGCAAAGCGCTTAAGGCATTGTGCAACAAAAATGAATGAAAATTGGGAAGCACAAGCAGAGCTGTGCTCTGATAACGCAGCTCATGTAGGTGTCCTCTTCTCTGAGAGCTGTAAATAATTAAAGAGAGGTCTTGCTCCAAGCCCTGCTGGAGCCAGGAGCAATTAACACCCCGAACTAAGGTGCAGGCGTTGACTACTCCCAACACAGCAATGCCTGGGGACTTTCTGCTACCCCAGACTGCCGTGGTGCAGCTGACAGGCAGCTCATTGCATGTACAGGGCAGCAGAACCTCAGGGCCTGCAGGAACTTCCTGCAAGTGGGACTGGTAAAGGTTCAGGGAGCTCAGACTTCCCCACCAGGACCATTCTGTTGTTTAGAATGTTTATTTAACTGATGATCTACGTCTGCAAAAAGCATCAACTTCACAACAAATTATTCATCAAAAATCTATGTCCGTCCTTTCTGCTGTCCAACACTGACTTTCAGGATATTTCATCTAATAAATCTGAAGTAGGCATGAATAAACAAATATGGCATTATACTAACCTCGTTAATTATGCATCAACTACACGGTGCTGGAAGTACAGACAATACTGGGATCTCGTGGAAGATGAGTCTGCAAAAAGGAAAAATTATTATCTACATGATCAGAAACCTTGTTTTGCCTTAAGCTTCATCTGTTTTGGGTGGTTTGACTGAAAAAATGTATTAATAATTTCCAAGTTGGGGTTGACTGATTTAAAATATGATATCTCCATATGATATTTCAACATTCTGCACAGTGTACCTAAAAACAAAGTGTGATGTTCTGTGTCTTCATTTGTAAAATATAGGTATTTCTTCGTTATTCTGTGTGGGACCAGAGAAACACTACACAGCTTTTCGCTTTGGAAAGGGAAGAAAGAAAAAAAGAGAGTTCCCTTCTCAACAGCAAATAAAAGGCCCAGTCTCTTGGCATCCACTCACTGACTCAGATCATCTCTTGGAGAAGGAGACAAATGTTGTCTTCTGCATTACAGTCTCAGTAGAAGCTTTTCTGCATAGCGAAGCAAATCATAAACATAAGGCCCTCATTAGCAGAAAAAGCTTTTCCAGGAACAGAATAGTGACTGGGAAATCATCTGATTCCTGGACATCCAGCATTTCAGCCATCAGCCCCAAGACAAAAGGAAGGGGGAGGCCAAGGGCTCTGGCACTAAGCTGTGCTCATAAGGACCCTCCTGCAAAACCTCTTCCAGGCACCTGCAGGAGGTATCTGCTTTCACTCAGGTCATTCAGGCTCTGCACCCCTACAATGCCTCCCCTTCCTCCTCGATGTGACAGCAACTTCTGCAGCAGGCACACTCCCACACCTCTTTCTGGGGAGGAAGGATGCTTGTTTTCTCCTGGCTTCAGTGTCTGACGTATCTGCCAATATTCAGCACTGCTGTAACAAGGGGTCTGTTCCAAAACACAGGTCAGTGCTCTCTGTTTCCTGATAATCCAAGAAAGAAATTGTACTGAGGTAAAAAAAAAAAAAAAAAACAAAAAACAAAAAACACAAAAAAAACTTTAAACAACCAAATAAGGACTTGCATAATTAACAACACCCTTCCACCTTGATTCTCTGTCATTCTTCCAGCAATCAGGCCAGGCCAGGGTGGTGCAGCATCATTCCAGCACAGTCAATAGCCACTCCTCCCAGTTCCCATCTTCTGCCTCAAATCAGAAACTGCTTTTTAGTACTGGAGACAAGGAAGCATCCTCCTCTGGTTAAAGATGCTGCATATATATAAAGGATAAAAAATCAAAAACATGTCTGTAGCATTTGTATAGATTATACACATATATACGTGTATATATAGATGTATAGCATTTGCATGGATCTAGCTTGTCATCCAAAATTTCTTTCATTGTAAATAAGAGAGCATTTGGCTTGTGTTTTGGGGCAGTTGGTTTCTCACACAAACATATGAGGCTGCATTACAGCTACAAATGTTTCTTTGGAGCAGTTAACACTGCAACAGTTCGAAAATATCTGTGCAGACATTTTACAGGTGATGTTCTTATTGCATTAGTGTATCAAGTGTTGCCAAACCCGATGGACTGAAACAGTATCACCTGTGTTAAACCTCATCCGTTTTCTAGGAACACTCCTACAAACAGAGGAAATTGCTGCCCCTGGTAAACTGAGTATCATTATGAAACGAAACCAAGTGTTCAGAAAATTTTCAGCAAATGAGGTTATATTGTGACACATATTAAGACCTCTCAGAACGGAGAACATCTATTGCTAGCACGCTTCCAAAGCAAGCTGGGTATGTAGGCCTGATAGATTTTTTTTTCTTTTTCCTTAATAAATTGTGGAGGAAATTGCAGAACTGATATGAATCTCGCAGCTTAACACTTCTTGCGGTGAGGTTTCATTTCGTAAATATTCCCTTAAAGCAGAGGTTTTAAAAAACCAAAATTACCTGTGTCCCTGGCAGTGAGAGGTGAAGTGGGCTGTATTTGGAGTCACCTTTGCAGAGAGGGAACACCTCAATAAATGCTCTGTGTGACCAGTTGTGACAGAGGGTTATGTGTCTGCCAACAAAACCTTCATTTTTTATACTAATAGCACAAGTCAGAATAAATATTATCTCCACTCATGTGACAGACCTTTGATAAAGCAGAATTGGCCTGGCTGATTAGGACCACGTGTCAAACACAGATAATGGGGGAATCCCTTTCAGCAGCAGCACACCAGCTCAGCAACCATAATGAGGCCGATTTAACGAGCTTTCTGTTTTACAAGAGATATTAATTGCTGCCCTGTCACATAAGGTACAATTCAAGATAAAATATGTAAAAAGAGGGGGAGCGGGAGGGAATTGGATTTCATTCCATTTTGGCCAACATTATAATTTTTCTTGCAGGACCATGAATCTCCCCACTGCTGATCTGAATGCCCTGGGTGGCTGACACGCTGCAGAAGGACAATGTGCATTGTTATGAGGTTTTTTAACACTGGAAGTATGTCAGGCTTTTCGTTGCATCTTTCTACCCCTATGATTTTCATTCTGCTTTATCCAGGTTTTCTTTGCCTGTTTGTTTACTAAAAACCCAAAAAGCAGGCACCATTCCTGAACAAATCTCAGCTTACCACTAATCCCAACATTGGGTTAGAATAGTTCAGTTTGTTTAAAGATACTGCAACAGCAGCTTTGCAGAGAAACTAGTTGCTCAGGAGCTGAGCCTTAAGGCTGTTCATAATCTTAAACCTCTTGTCCTTGGCAATGCCAAGAACTCCAAAACCACAGCATGTACAACTTGTGAATATACTCAGTACCTTTGTCATCAAAAGATTGATTTTTTTTCTCATGACTGAGAAGGAAACAGGTGGAAAGAAAAGCAAAGATGGACTAATTTTTCTATTAAATATGTTAATGAGATCATTTTATTTTTCAGCAAGGAGGAAGGATGCCCACAAAGACAAATAGGTCTTTACATGCTAGTTTGAGAGATTATCTCAGACAGTTTAGGAGATTATAAAAACAGAGAGTCTAAAGCTGCTTGCAAGCCCAGGCTCACCAGCAGAGTGGTTACCTTAATGCACTTTGGGTAACACATCAGGCAGCTCCTAAGAAAACCTTCCTTTCTTACACTGGTGCCAGCAGTGAAGTCCACCATTTCCTGCACAAAGCCTGCACACTCAGTAAACACGGTGCTGAAATTCAGCCAGCCACACACACCCCACAGAATTCAAAGCGTGGTCTGTCAGCCAAATGACACAAAACATTGAAACACACGGTTTTAAAGTCTGGTCTTATTCAGCAAAATATTTGCATGCTTTCAGACACATCTCCAAATGATAGCATTTCCTAAATCCCATCCTCAAGAAGTGAGACCACATTTGGCCTAAAGATGAAAATAAGTACCAGCCTGGACTCTCAGAAGTATCTAGGAGTCCTAATTCATATTTTAAGAGTCCCAGCTAGAGATTATCTACATTTTAGGAACCTCAATAACTCTTCAAAGCCTGTCCAAGGAGTTTATTTTGTTTCTGAAAAGAGGTGCTTTAAAGATTATAAATAAACAATCCACAGTAATAGAACCTCAGCACGTACCGCCATACCTGCTGGACCAGAAAGCAAGTCTGACACTGGAAATAGCAGCTCTCTACTGCTTGTATGGAAATGCTGAGATCATTCCAGGTGACCCTGCACAAAGATAAAAGGCCCAACAGAGTTTTTGTAGGCAGTATTTTCTGATTGTAAGAAGAAACCCAAAATATCCAGATGTGAGAACATTCACTGGCAAAATTATTGAATGATCATTT